TGTGTTTGATATAAAAGTTAATTTCTTATTATTTCTCAACAAAAACAAGCTCATCGAGTCACTAATATGTCCGTAATCAGATCACTTACCCTAGTAGGTACTTATTGACTTATTTTTCTTTGCGTTTGGACGGCCAATTTCATGAATATTCTATACCCGTAGTTCAAGGGTCAATGACAGATACAAAGTTTTGTTTGAATCATCCAGGTGAAAGATCACAAACGTCCACAGTCACGAAGCGTCATCTAGAGTCAGCAAGATCCACAATGATTCATCGTCGGATAAGTCACTTGTACATCATGAAAATATTACTTTACATCCGTGAACATCGTGTTCCATTGTCACACGTACCGATCTTCTCTCGCGGGATGATTAATTTTGTCTCTACACAAACACACATGATCGAAAGACGACCTTCGTCCTGACGTTCCGAGGTCTCTTTTTCTCCACGCATATGGCGACGCACTCGTTCCGTTACCCAGTCGGCTAAATGGACCCAATGTCAGCGTAAACAAACGAAAAAATTACGCCGGCTGAAGATACTCGTGGTTCGACCAAGTGAACAAATTAAAACGCTCGGATCGTGTTAAAACGGAGAAAGGGAGCTTTTTGTGCGTTTTGTTTAGTCTCGTGGGACGAGGATCTGGCGATCTCGTTAATCGTCTCACATTTTGTTTATAACCTCTACCAGCGAACTCGATTAATTTTTTTAAAAGAAGAATATAGGAAGGTCTCTGTGTTCGTACACTATGCGAGTCTTATTAGGAATTGCCAATTACTATGTTCATTGTAATTTAGTAGATGTAGTTTCAAGTATACTGGAAAAAGTTAGACTTATTATTATAGTAAAGTCTGCTGGAAATTATTTTTAACCTTATTAACATTTACCGTCCACTGACACAATACTGATTTTACTTTACAAGTACAATCAGTATTGTGTCAGTTGACGATAAATGTTATCGTTGCACGGATACATTTTCCCGCCATTTTCTTTAACACGACAACTGTCATGGCGGTCATCAGCGAAATCGCCAGTAGTTTTCCTTTACTGCTTATTTAGAATATTTAAACAACTGCTGATAACAGGACACAACTGGTGTAACATATAACTTGGTATAACACGAGTGTAACAACAATCACAGAAAATCTGTACACTTTGTACTTACAGCAGGGACAACAATAACCTCGACATACTCAGACGACCATTTGTTTCTTGTCAGTCTGAACATATGTATCACCTAAAATCATTATTTCAGCCAGTTCTCCGTACTCATGTTTTTCATATAAATGCATAAATTGCGTAGCCAACCCATTACAAACTATAAACCCTTTACGACCGTATGATTCCATTTGGAATCATTAACTTACTTAACATTTATAACTTATATTATGAACTTGAAGTTTCAATATAGTATTGTATACATAGTTTAAATTTTTTTCCTATTAAATGGATACATTATCGAGAGTAATATTTAAGAAATATTTAATGAATATTCCTTTTTATTTACAAACAACTTTTTTTATTCATTTTTTAATTTACCTGTTTTCCAACATCCAAGAAATAACTGTATGACAAAATATATTTTTTGTTATTGTTTGAAAGAAGGTTAGGTTTTGTAGTATAGTTCACGATGTACTCGGTCCCATCGCTAGAATTCACCCTGCTCTCAGACGAGAGAAGGTGAAATGGCCCCGTCTAATTGATTATGCATCGATGCACACGCGGTTTCCCCGTCTGGAACAATGGAAAGATCGGTTGGATACTGTTCCAAGAACGGTTACCACGTGTAGTGGCCCCTGTTACTTTCTATACTAATCTAGCGATTTAGAAGGTCTCGACTTCGAGAAGTTCCAAGTGAGGTTAACTCTGAATCGATAAACTAAATTTAGATTATTCAAACCAGAGATCCTCTGAACCCAAGAATTCAAGCCTGAGACATCTTGAACAAAAGGACCCAAACTGGACACCCACAATTTCAGTTCTGTTTTGCTTACGTGACTCCAAGATCAAGGCCGGAATAGAAACGAAGTTACGTCAACTCTTTCTGCAACTGTTCCACAGAATAAGACTGTATAGAAAGTATATTTTTTCGAGTCTCCTTAACCAATCATCGAATTCTGGTCGACTTCCTTACGATCGTCGATTGGGCAACGGATTGTGCCATCGATGAAAATCTCAGGAGGCTCTCTCTGTCTCGCAGCTTTATCTCCGGCGGTGTTGTAATATGGCGATTATACGTGCCTGTGCTCCCTTCCTACATCGTCGAAACCAGTAAATTTTCTCGTATCGTTTCCATTTCGTTTCTGCATGCGTGCACAGGTCCCGCGATTAATTTTATCGTCGAGCGCTATTAATTCCACCGACATAGAAATTTGTATTTCAATCCGACGAGACGATCTCTCCCCCCAGACACTTGCTCGCCTGACGTTTCGTAATTACAGAACCAGCGTCCACGTAATTATATCGCGAACGATACAAAACAAACAGATAAATGATTAGCACGATGACATATCGTGGTATGTAATACCTAATAATAATAACCGGTCAGTCGACGCGATAATAACAACGTATCGATCTTTGTCGTTTATTCCTAATAATATTCGAAGTCATTTATGTCGTGATGGTACTTTGTAGTACCACTTATGTTACAATAAAAGACTGCCTTGAATCAATACCCAAATGGCCCATGACGCCCAATGATGCCTTGAAGACAGCTTAAAGGCGCCTTAGACCTAAAGTAGCCATAAAATAGACGTCTTCAAGGCATTATATGTTATCTGGTTATGCTTACAATTAGACTAGGACTTATTTACTACTTCCTTGATGTGCTCCTGAGATGCTACAAAATGGCGCCACCACTCAGAGACGCCATATTTAGTTATTTGAATAAAAAAATATAAAACATAGAGTAACAAATATTTGAACTGTTTTCACGTGTTTGGAATAAAAATTGCGGTAAAAAAATAACGATAACATAATTTAGGCCTTAAACGGTTAACTGATAGCTCTGAGCTGAGTATAAACTTTATCTCGAACAAGTTGCATCCAGCGTTCTAATCGTGGATGCATTCGTTGTAACTAGTGACCCAGTATGTTAATACTTTCTCTTTCGTTAAGTATTCTTTTGTTCCCGGATTATACGGTGCACCTGTATTGTCCCCTAAAGACGCCACAGCTGCGACCCCCCCCCTTGCCCCCTCAACAACGCCGATAACAGGTCACTAAGGTAACGGCCCCATTTTTCCCGCCATTCTACGCTCTCCATGAACTCGTTCAATGAATAGAGCCAAGCTACCTGTGAAATATTTTTACGACAGGTTCGAGTGTCGTTCTTCCAATGTTCGTCGTTGGACAAACACGACGATCGGATCGCCGCACCTGGGTCAGCCATTGATAATGAGAACTGGTTTCCGTAATAGAACTTTAAACGATTGAATTTTATACGATTCTATTAAAATCGAACGCTGATTATACAATTACTGTGTCTGGGGATAAAATATATTTCTCAAACGAAGTACAGTAATGACTCGATGAGTGCGACGTACTCGGGTCCCCTTCGGAGCATTCATAGCAAGGCAGAAAGATTTTCAGCCTCTCATAAATTTGTTTTTTACCCGAAGCCGAGTCTCTGCTTAGCTTTTGTTTACTCTGTTTTGATTGATTCTAGAGGGGGAATAACATTTTTGCTCGTGTCGCATTCATCGAGGAATCACTGTAACATGCTCACTGTCTTGGGGGTCACCGATGTCCATCATAATTAATTACAACACTTATGTGGTCTGTTATATTTGTATATTTTTCGATAGCATTGGGAACCACTGACCCAATATGATATCTAATTCCTGAACAGGTAATTCCTTATAAAAGCAGAACAGTATAGGTACCCGTATCATATAGAAAAGATTCGAAACTAGACTTCACTGTACACACACTGTCGATAATAAATTAATTTAAATATTCCTGGACGAAAATATTCACTCTTCGCCTCTCAGCTTACAGCGCACAACGGGTTAATACTTCACGAACACTTGTCTACACGGTGTATGCACATCTCCACGATTCACTTCCTATAGAGATCACAAACAATGCACGGTATCGTGATTCTCCTGGAATCACGTGTACTCAACCACGTAACGTCAACATCGATTATAACGTCTGCTCGATCCCTGGCGAACACGATCGCCGATTATACTGACGCCGGTCAACATTACCATCGGATGGGCCAGACTTGATTACAGTTCGGTATGAGTACTGTTATAAGCCCCCTGTACACGTACACTCCCGCTCATAAGTATCAGGACAAAAAGAAATGAAATAAATATCATTCAAATCTATTCCTATATCAAGATACCTCACGATGAAGATGAAGGACGGCCCAAAGAAAACGATAAAACCACATTTTCCTTGGATATTAAAAATTGTTAGTTAGGACAATTGAGCTACAGAGGGCAGTATTACCACGGGGTATACACACATGTCGTATTTGTGTTTATGTAGCTCTATGTGACGTCACCTTGTCCCTACCGGTAGGGAATCTCTCCTGGCAACGCCGGGTGGAACCAGTATGCACGAAGAACGCGGAGGGCCAGAGAAAAAGAGAGGGGGGCTGGCTCAACTCGCCGAGGAAAAGCTGTCGTATTCATACGTACACTCTCGGTACAACGACGCGCGTTATACACTAGGGTCTCCAGGGTACACGGCGCGTAGGACTCCAGTAGTAGCCGAGCTGCCGCGTCGAGACGAGACGAGACGTGAACGCAGCGGCGGCGTACCAACGTGCGCGTCTGAACCTACTTTCTGTCACCGACGTTTCCTTCGTCCGCCTTGGGAGACGATACACGCGCATTGTTTCCCCTCCCGACGTGATATTAACCTTCTACGGAGCGAAAGAAGAGAAGAAAACCCGAAAGATCCTTGAAGCTCCGTGAATAAATTCCTCGGAGGAACCTGAAGAATCTGTCCCAGGTGTATATAACCAAGTCAACACACCGAAAACGAGAGGAACTTGGATCGCTCAACTGGAGAATATTCTTGAAGAATTTTGAATATTCTTGTCGGCGTATTCTTGAAGAATTTAAAGAGCCTCTATTTCGAAAGGTTTCGAGAGAGGATACATCGTTAGGATCTCCAGAGACGAATCAGGTGAAAGTATCATTCAGCCGTGATCCCACGGGCACGTCAAAACGTGTTCACGTTTCTCGATGACGAACACGTGCCGTGGAACGGCGTGAACGATTTTACGGGGACTAAATCGTCGGCTGGGGACCATGAGGCGACTGGTGGTTTTGTGGTGGGTCCTGTTGCTCCTGGGAGCGGCGACGGCCGTGGAACACCAACGACAACAGAACGGCAGGACGACCGAGTGTCCGCATAAGTGCGTGTGCTTCGTGAGCACGGTTCGGTGCATGTTTCAGAAGCTGAACCGGGTGCCCCGTGTTCCGGCCAGCACCACTGTTCTGTAAGTGCTCATTTACAGATTCTCCTGTACCCTCGCGAGCAATCTCCGATTCCGCTAGGGGAAAAAGCGACATGGAAGAAAAGTCTCCTAGAAAATTTATTTCAAGCACTCAAATAAATGTTAAACCGAATTCGTTAATTTAGCATAAATTCCAATAACTCCCGAAACTAAATGGTAGGAGGCCCTTCGTCTATCTCGCTTTTTCCTTTAACGGAAGCCGAGATTGCTCGCTAAGGTACATGTATTATGTTGTCTCGATCCTAGTACGCCCGTTCTTGGAGTTTATTTACGCTGCACTGTGGTGCGAAATCCCCAAAACGTGACAGAAACAAAAATTGTTGTCACGTCTTTAGGATTTTGCTCCACTGTGCCCCGTGTATTAGAACCGTTGTAATCCCCCCCCCCTGCAGCGACCTATCGACGGGGGAGGAGAAATCGGGATTGTGTATAATCGGGGAATTTACAGTGTAGGTCGCGCTCACGAGTATTTCCAGGTCGGGAATGTGTATACTTTATACTTACCTGCGTGGGAAGCGGTGAATTGAATCGTCGAATCGGACGATGTATGTATATACGGAGGATTTTGACCTGGGATGGGCAAATTCGTTATCTGTATAAAGAATTTCGGATACTGAATGGAAGATAAAAACAAACATATTTCTTAGATATATATACGCGCTGCGATTGATAGCTAACGTTACCGCGGGAACTCGGCCGGCAGACTCGCGCTCTGATTGGTCGGGGATTTTCGTTAATATCCCTAAGGCAGCATTAATTCCGATTCCACGCGGTTCGCGTGCCCTTGGAAGAAGTAGCTGAATTAACGAGACGAAAAGGGAAACAAAGAGAAGAGTGTAAAAAAAATATATATCGGTCGAGAATCGGGTTACGTTCTCTTAAAGTGCACCACCTAATGGCCTTGTGCTCTTTGTGTGCACGGTTAAACGGTCGACATTATGATCTCTTGAACCGTGTCCTCGCAAGCACACGCTTCACAGAGCAACGTGTACACTTATCAACACCAGAACTACCCACGACAATGGTATGTCTGTTTCGATCGGATCGATAGACGTACGACAAACTTTTGAAAATATTCAAATTCTTCTAATTAACCCGCCAACTGAAACATTTCTGGACGATTGGCTGTACGAAACTTCTTAACTCTAACAAAACATCAGCTAAACAGTCTACTTAGTTGAGACGTGTAATCAAATATTTTTTTACTTTTCAAAAAAGATTCAGGTCTGAAAGGGTTAAAATAGAAACGAACCACTATTTTTTTTAGTGAATATAATCTTCACATATATTTCTGAAGCGACATTATGTCTCAACACAGTTTCAGACATGGCATACTTATTTCGTTTTTTTGTTTAATCAGAATACATAAGAGTTGATAATTTTAGGGTGCTTTTTATAGTTGTGCCACGCAGTGTATAAGTTGTAAATGATCTGAGAAAAAATGTCTTCTAACATTTCAATCATCGTTACAAAAGCGTGCTAAGCAGTCGTTTTGGCTGCTTTGGTGGATCTAAGTGTTAAATACACACATTCCTGTATCCCTACTACGGCGATGGAAGAAAATCCGCTCGAGTTACTTACCTTCGCCTCCGTTTTCTCGTGCAGCTTAGGAATCATCCTTGTTCCACGGTTTGTACATATTTACCGCTATTCGTAACAGTGTCCCGAGAACGTTGGAATAAATTTCCCCGTGTACACTTGCACAGCAAGGTGTTTTTGGATACGGTTAAAATAGGAATGACTGCTTCGTCGTTTCAGCTATATATACATAGTGTACGTAGGTATATAAAAGCGAATTTCCACTTTGGACGTACATACATCGCGGATGATTCATCCGCAATCCTTTCATGAAAAGTGAGGACTGCTTTTATTTTGTTCATTTGATCACTTTGGATGATATGCAGATTAAAACAATCTTTACACCTTTCTCAGTGTGGATGATTTTAACCCTTTAACTACGTCGATAGACGACACGAAAGTTCTGTGAAACACGGCTATCGTCAATAACTGAGTTTAAGATTATTATTATTTATTGATCTATTTTTTTTAGCTTGTAGCTTGATTTTCAACATCCTCAGTTACCGTAGAATATTATCTTATTACGTTGTTTATATTTGTAGTTATGTCAATTTTCTTTCCTGAACTTTCGTCGAAGCTACACAGCTTCTAGCGAAGGTCAATTTATTTCTCACTCTCTCGTATTATTTCGCAACGCGTGTTCTCAATCTTATCGAACATTTCGGTACGTGACATCACACGAGCATTCTGTAGGAGTGAATATTCCTGGTATACACATTCTGTGCCTCTTTCTTCTCGTTTCCCTTTCGCGTCAAAGATGCTTGTAAGCACCAGAATACGTAGAACTACCCAAATTGCATCGTTCGTTCATATTATTAAAAAATTATATATAATAATACTAATGAATAAAAATGAAAGGTAAAGTTAGAAAGGTATTGTACATATAATACATACATCCCAAATAGCACATGACGCCTTGAAAACGCCCATTTTACGGCTATTGTAGGTCTAAGGCGGCTTTAAGGCGTCTTCAAGACGTCATGTGCTATCTGGGATAGAAATCGAATTATCGCAAGAAAGTCTATGAGGGTCCGCCATTTTGTTTCCTCCGAACACTATAATATGAAATTAGATTGGCGCCAAAACCGTCTTCGAATAGTTGTGTTTTCTCGGTAATTCGGATAATAGAATAAGAAGTGGATACTCCGGTTTACTTGCGTGAAAAAACGATAACACGGTATCTGCAGACATGTATTTACACGTCGGGACATTTTATCGTCTCTGTCACCCTCAATCGGGTTAAGGACTTCGTTTAAATATTTACCTTCGATCGTGTTCACACTGTCTGTGAAAATATTCCGAAGAAAAAAATGAACGTCGTGTCGCGTTCACATAAACGAAAAATTTCTGTTTCTCGTGACTACTGAATGAAAGTCGGGGGGGAAAAAAGCTGAATGAAAGTTGAATTGTCTGATGTTCAAGATCGCTATCGAAATGTCACGTTTCGTCTGTTTAGAATGTAATTTCTCAATTCCACGCGTTTCACGATTCGATCAGCGGCGAATTACTGATCGGTTAGTTGAAGCGCTAATTGCAGGAACATCGGTCTGCTCAATGACAATTAAATCTCGCTTAGAGAAAGAAAGATGAACCATTTGCATTAAGGGATGACTCAGAGACGAGCTTCGATATTATTATCCGCCTCCGCGTAATGAAACGGAATCGTTATTACACAAGCCATTGCTTTTCAATCGTTTCGACAGTCATTTGGAATAGCAAACATCAGTCCCCTGATTTAATCTTCTGCAACTGGAACGCGTTTTACCGTAAATAAAAGACTCGTATCCTCGTTTCTTTTGAAAAACATGGAACAATCGTTCTTTTCAAATGATAATTTATTATTTGTGCAGAGTAATTATAATCATTTTTTAGTATCCTTTGTTCAAGTAAAAACAGGGGTAAATTTCCCTTTAATATTCCACGTTATTAGTCTCCGACATCCTGCGCCATTTTTCTTAACGGAAAGAGCGGGAAAACGTACTAAATTCAAATTATAGTTCAACGCATTCGTCACAAATGGAAAGGAGAAAAATATAAAAATTAGATTAAGGCGCTGTGAAATCTATAATGCATATACAACAGTTCTAATTAGTGTTAAAATAAAGGAACTTTTCATTACACGTTGTATTCGTCTTGCAAAATCGATCGTTTCAAAGCAGAACTTGAAAGATCGACGGTATTCGTCACGGATCTAATTAGAAATTGAATCTCGTACACTTGTCGGACGTACCCCGATTAATCTAATCCGTCGTCCGAGCGCCATGTAAACCACGGTGGAATGACTAATGGGCTGGCTGTCGTCGTTGGATCATCGTCAGTTCGATTTTTCAGACGCTTCGTGATGTTATACGCGCCGCAGCCGTCGGCCTTCCGGTTTCCACGGCAATTAAAACACGTTCGAACGCGATAAATCGTTTATATTAAGGAATTACCGAGGAAGGCCGACAGCGTTGCTAAACCATTTCGCTTCTCGAGCACCGATAAACCGACCTACCCAGTTTACGTTTCACTGATGCCTATTTTCACGCTGGACCTCGTTTACATTGGACCTGAAAAAATAATCGAAACTCTCGGTAAAGACTACAGTTTTCGAAAAATTTTCAAAAATGAGTAGAAACATACTTTTTAACCCTTTCTTCATTCGTTGTGACAAGAAATTCGGAAATTACTTTGAATTTTTGTTAGGAGCATAAATTTATAATAATGTCTAATAATAATTCGAGAATTTTCAAAATGGCGTCTATTAAGCAGCCAGGGCTCGAAGGACATTCACGTCCGCGACGCATTAAACCCTCCTGGACGTCGAATTATTTCCCGCAGCGTACCGAACGAACTTTCACTCTAACATCTCGGGTCAAGACGCTTCGCTTTAACGAAATCATTTTAATCTTCGCAGTCCTCATTGTCGTGTCGATAGGGAAAAAAATATTCCGAAGCGGCCATAATATCGTGTCTCGATCGAACACGTAACTCGATCTCTGTTCGAGTCAATGAAAACATTCAGTCTCCACCACGTAACGAACAGTAATTTTATTCATACTCCGGTTTCGGCTCCTCCAGACTCTCGTGTGTCCGCAATTGAAATTGCCCGAGGCAACGAGAGTCTTCGTTCCTTTGCGCCAGATTTTTACGAGCAAAGCTCTGAGGACCCCTTTTTGTTCGTCTTTACGACCTGGAGAATATGAATTCTTTATGAATTTATACAAGATCTTCCTTAAAACGAACCGCCGAATCTTGACTCGACCTTTGGTATTTGACCGTCGAAGGTCCTATGGCAGAGTCATGGGTGACTCGTCAACGAACACTCTCGTTTAAGTGTTTAGATAGACCCAGGCGCCGGATGAAGCAAATATTGTCATATATGTTTTGCGTTTGTGAAATGTTAATAAATAGTTGGCACATGAAAATTAGATTTTTTAACATCTACACCTTTTTGTAACATATAGATATCAATTTGAAAAATTGGAAAAATGTAATTTATTTAAATTAAAAAGAAATAATACATATTTCACCAGTGAATGAACGTTAGCCAGTAAATGAATATTTCATTTGAACTTTTTCAAAAGAAATTGAAAAAGATCAATATTTAATCATTGGCTTATGTTAATAACTTAATTTTCTCCGTTTTACATGTGCATATACATAGTATTCATTGACTGGTGCGTGTTCATTTAGTGATGTATCCACCCTATATTGTTTATGTAATTAATGTATAAGCTTGACGATTGAATAAGCATTGTCTCGCGATATTTTATCAATTTACTCTGCTGTAAGTGGTATCATCATCTGCACGCCGGTTCTTGCGTCACTTTCAGCACGATTTTCACAATGTGTGCCCACGGCTTGATTGTTCAGAGATCGATCGAACGATCTTATCTGACGGGTATGTCGGTAATTTAACAAAGATATATTTATTCAATGAAGCGGCGGCGACCGCTTAAGGATACACGATATTCGGGTCACTACCCATAATAGGCGTTCGGTCGTCGATCGAACCGAACGGATAACTGTTTCATCATTTTGAAGAATTTCCAAGGTATAAATTACGTGTAACGCCCATTATCTGTAATTTTCAATTGGATATGGTTCCAGCTTGCAAAAATACACAGTTGTCTTCTTTAGTTTTCTTAATATCAGATGAAATAAGAAGGATATTTCGCAAGCAATCGTATTGTCCTCCATCTTGTTCCTGACGCGTCCGCCGCCATCTTGAATTCTATTCTGACGAAAAGAAGTGCAATTTGCAATTCGAGGAGAAATCAGACTTTCCCAGGATACACGTACATTATGATCGTTCGTTTACCTTGCCACTTATCATCGCGAGCCATAATAACACCTGTGCCCCGTTAATATTAATCCGTGACAGCCTCTAATCGCGTCGATCGCGCGTGTTCTGCCGACGGCGTTTAAACGAATGACGGAAATATTATGTCGATAATCCGACGTGAATAATCCAACCGTTATCGATCAGTGAAAGTTCAATAATCGAATAAATGAATATCGAGTTAATTTATGGAAAGTCTCTAACATATAGCTTATAATCCAGCTTTTATTAAATATTACTTTTCATTACATCGACCGAGGATACCAAATAGATCGGGAAGACGTCTGGTAAATAAAACAAAAGGAAAAAAGGACGATTGGTTATTGATGTTCGATGGATTGTATATCCTGATCTCCTTCGCGGCGATGTTACGATATCAAACACCGAAGATATTTATACTCCAGCAGCCACTGGAGAAATTATCGGGGCAATATACACGGTATTAATAGGTCAAGCTATTAACGAACCGTCATTCAAGCGAAAGTCACTGAACCTATATACAGTGATCCAAGAAAATTGTTTCACTTCGAAAACGCTATTATTACCGATTCGACACGGTATTACGAGATATAATAAATTATGTACGTTCAAAAAAAAAAAAAAAAAAAAAAAAAAAAAAAAGTCAGGAAAGGAAAACGGTTGAAACTGGAACTGCAACATGTTCTCGGAAATATGTATACTATAACTCGTAGAACAACGTGGATCGTGTTTCAATTCGCTGTTTCGACGTTAAACGAACCGTTGCGTATAGTTACGGACGTCGACACGTACACACGGGGCGAATTGCTGAAGCGGGCCGATGCAAATATCACGTGTCATTAATCCAACCGTGTCAAAGCACACGACCGCCGCCGGGCCGGTTCGGTGAAAGGGAATTTCTTCTCTGCCCCGTGTGTTTTCCGTTCCTCGTACCTTGGGAAATCTTATCTGTAATTCACCTTGCACAATATGATCGGACCCGTAGCCGTGTTGACGACACAATGATTCGAGCCTATTTATATTCCAAGTGTGCAGAACCAGTAGAGACCTAAGACGCGTCCAAGACTTCTTGGACCCTAAAACTCATGCTTAAAATCCCTTAGACTCAAGGTCCCTCCAGACACAAGGACCAATACCTAAAACGTTGCAAATTCAAAAGCTCCAAGCCAAACTACTTGGTTTCAGAGGATCTCTGGCTTGGGTCCTTGATTCAGGGGAGCCTTGAGCCATGAGTGTTTAGGCTCAAATATTCTCAAGCTTAGATTCTTAGGTTCAGAGAGCCTTATACATAGGTCCTTGGTCCCAGAAAGCTTTGAGCATAGGTTCTTAAGTCCAGAATGCTTAGGGTATGTGTTCTTGGGTCCTACAGGTTTCATACTTAAGTCCAAGGATTTTCGCGGCTCTGTTGATCCTATTCCATCTCATGTCGAGTCGGTTAATCCTGGCATAACCTGATCTTGGATATTCCCGATCCCAATCTCTGACTTCTACGTTGGTTTGCTTCGTGTCTCTTGATCTCCACGTAGATGGATCTAAATCCCCTCGGTTCGGGGTTGATCCAATTCAGTTTCTTCTTCTGTAAATCTCCAATTTCGGTTTTTGTTAAGCTTGGATAGATTACCCTTCGACAATAACACAATCATTGGCCATTGTTGATAAGTAACTGGCGTGGAGTTTGTCAGCTTCAGAGCTCACAGATAAACTGTACTCATTTCCTCGGAGCCGTGGCTCGGAATACAATTGGACCGACACGAATGGGGAGCGTATGCTATAGAACGGATATAAAGGCGACGAATGAACTATCGACTGGAGCCGGTTTCAATTTTATTGAAAAGGTCACCGATGCGAAAACATTTTGCACGGTCTTAGTCACCGACGAGAAATAGATTTTCCGTGCCCGCCCGCGCCTGTCGTGAAACAAATGATTATAAAGTCCGGGGAGGGCAGCCCGGGGGCCTCGATTACACGGTTCGCTGCGGCAAAGATCGGAGTCATAAAGCGCAAAGCTCTTAATTAACGATTTTACTCGACTCGTTGCGCATTACCTCCCCCTCCCCCTCGTCCTCCCTCTCTTCCCGCGAAATTGCCGGGCGAGTTCTCAGTTCGACGCGCCGGTATTTTAACCTCTTTATCGCTCCGGCTGATCTTCCAATGGTTCGTTTTGCCGGGAACTCGAGCGAAACAGGGACGAATCGCCATAGAAGCTGAAATTTCGCGTTATATACTTCCGAGTGAGCTGAAATAATTGAGAGAATCTTCGTGAATTGATCATTACTAAAAAATTGAAAATTAAGTACTTATGACATCAAACTCTGCCTAAAAACGATAGAACCGAATCGTGGAAGTGCATACCACTTGATATAGCTACTAACAAAATTGGTCCTCAAATCCGAGATCTAAGTCGTTGAAACATTTTCTGATCCTTAGTTTCCATCTTAGGCAAGTTAACCGAGAACAATAATTGTATGTAGCGCTTAATGATGTCGCGAAACTGGAGACACTGATAGAGAATCACGCATTGATTCTATATTCCGAATCGATTACTCTACTTAGTAATTACCCTGGCCCCAGTTTCAATTTTCAGGTACCAACACAAGTTTTACTGTATTCTTTTCGAACCGTTCATTAATTCCCTTTGTTTTTGTTGACATGATCGTAGCAACAGTAACAGCCTCACGGAATTTTCAGTGATCTACGGTTCAACAACATAGCCGAACTACGGCCCGGTTCGTTCCACGGGCTGCCGCAGCTGCACACGCTGCTGTTGAACGACAATCGGATCAGACACCTATCGCCGAGGACGTTCGAGGGCGCGCCGAACCTGAGGATCCTCTATCTCTACAAAAATCATCTGGAGCGTATATCCCCCGATGCGTTCGCCGGTTTACCGAAGCTCGAACAATTGTATCTGCACTACAACCGACTGAGGGAGATCAAGAAGGGCACGTTCAACGAGCTTCCGTCCCTGGAACGGTTGTTCCTTCACAGCAATATGCTCCATCATCTACCCGCCGACGCGTTTCAGAACGTCGGCCCGATGACCAGGCTACGTCTGGACAGCAACGCGTTGGTCTGCGACTGTAATCTCGTGTGGCTGTTGCAACGGATGCAGAACAATCCGTCGGAAATGGCGGCGGTGTGCCAGTCGCCGGGGGAAATGAAAGGACGATCCCTAACGACGATGTCACCCGATGATTTCCATTGCAGTTGAGTAACTCGAGCTTCCTTGTTTCGAAGGATCCTGGAATGGGACAGTTTCGAATCGCATGAATGTTGAGATTCGCGGGTAGTAATGGTCCTCACTTCACAAATGTGCGCGACAGATACTTCCTATAATCGCCACCAGAGGGTTCCTAGGACAATACTTCTGTACTCGCCACTAGAGGGATCCTGAGTCAATAACTTTCTCGCTGCTACTCAATCCATCGTCAGTTTATATACACATATACTGTCCATAACCGATCATGAAATATCCCCGCATGTAAGGCAAGTTCCGCTCCACCAGCAGGCCCAAGATGAAACGCTCCCCCGTGTCTTTCATTGTAACCGTCACAACCTTCGCTACATATAGCTTTCTCGACCAATCCTCAGACATCTCCGTATCAAGACAGGGTCTGCTAAGGTACATGATATCACCAACGGGTCGAATAACAGGGACCCAAAGGACGTCCACGCTTCCTTTACCTCATCCCTATCTTCCTCTAGTTACATGTCATCTGCGAAAAATAAAACTACAAATGATTATATGTTCCAACTTTCGAAACACATCCAAAGACCCAAGAACACTCTTGTCTGCCTTGCTCCCACCATTCCGAGTCTCCCCCTCTGTGTCCATTAAATATTCCAATACACTTCCTTCTGACAAATCGGAAGTAACGTAAAGTAGGTGATGTTCAAATCCCATCGTCTTCCATTTCCAGCCAAGCCACAGATCATGACCGGTCCCCAGGACGTCGAGGTCCGACTAGGCGGCACGATCACGTTCAGCTGCGAGGTCGCCGGCGACCCGACCCCGGAGATCAAATGGATGCGTGACTCGAACGAGATACCGGTCGACGGTGACCGTTACGCGATCGAAGAAGACGGGACCCTGGTGATAACAGACGCGACTGAGCAGGACACAGGCGAGTACGAGTGCGTCGCCAAAAGCGAGATGGGCTCGACCAAGTCGCGCAAAGCGAGGGCGTTGATCACCGTGTCCCCGTCGTTGCGGTTCACCCAGCTCCCGGAGTCGCAAACCGTACGGATCGGCACGGACGTCACGTTCACGTGCAAGGTGGAGGGTGTACCAGCGCCGCGGGTCCAATGGTGGCGGGACAACAGGCAACTGGGCGTGGCCGGTCGTGTCGCGATCGAGGACGACGGGGACGTGTTGCGTATCGTCGCGGTGAAGGAATCGGACGCGGCCCGATACGTGTGCCGGGCAAGGAACTCGAACGGATACGCGGAGACCAGCGCCGATCTGAAGGTGGTCGACTCGACCTACAGTCCGCCAAGATTGACATACGAGCCGCAGGACATGGAGGCGGAACCGGGCGCCATCATTGAGGTGCCGTGTAGGGTCGAGGGTATCCCGAAACCGTTGATACAGTGGAAGAAGGACGGAACCGCTGTCGAAGGGGACAGGGTACGAGTGTCCCGTGGGGGGAGCTTGTACCTTTACAATGTCACCTCGGCGGATACTGGCAGGTGAGCTTTTGTTTCACCAATGGCGTAACGAGATCTTGGTCGAACAAAACCATTGAACCCCTCGTCAATACCGATTGCGAAGTGTCGATCATCGATTCTGATGAACTTAATGAGGCATGAGGGTATAGTGCCAACCACGAACTATATGTACAGGGTGTTTGAAAATTATGTCACTAAATTTTCAAACACCCTGGACATGTATAGCTTGTATGTACTTCGTACAAACAGCAGGGGTTCGGATCCTCCACGCCTACAAATGTTTGGAGCCTTGGCTATTGGAGCCCCAAAAGTAGACATATACCAAAACGGGCAGATACAATATACATTTTTTATCTTCTTAAATAGTTTTATATCCTGTAAAGAACAAAATATTGCAAATCTGTAAAGGTATGTCAGACATGTAGTAGAAGACAGTAAGTGGGACCAAATAAGTACAATCCTAAAAAAGTAACAAACTGAAAGGGTCACGCCTGAAGTCACTATAACTCGTGAAGGCACTTAGGACACCGAAAAGTGTCCATGTTAAAGACGTAAACGCTACCTTCAAAATTGTGTGGGGGCGGGGGGGCTCAAACAGGTTTTACTGGAGTTATATTTGAGATCACGAGTTCATTCGTAATGTCTTGATTTCCTGTGGTATGTAGATGGTAATCTATAACAAATTCTGCGCACAGGTACGAATGCTCGGCCGTAAACGAATACGGTCGCGCCACTGCCCAAGCCCTGGTCCGCGTTCGCCAACCAGATACAACGGATGTTTTGGTGATAAGGGCATTCAAGGACGCCAAAGACGAGATCGATCGTGCGATTAATAACACGCTGACGAGTCTCTTTAGCGGGGGCCGACCCACAGAACGGGTGAGCCCATTCCGGCTCGCGAGATACCCGAACGCCGGTGGTCGGGCTGCGGCCAGACCGGCCGAAATTTTCGAACGGACCCTCGTTAATATACGACGCATGGTGAACGCTGGTATGAAGGCGAATGCCACTGAACAGTACAAATACGAGGAGTTCCTTACACCAGAGCAGGTGCAGTTTTATTTATCACCTTAATTGCTGTTGTATAATTTTCATTTGTGCCTGATTGTATAGTATCGACGAAGTACAGCTGCTCCCACTAGGAAAACGGCCGGGGACGTTTATTGTTAGTCACGAACCTTAGAATCTTGGTACTCGTATAATTGGCGAACAAGATTCAACTCTCCTAATCACTGCTTATTCAAATGCCTCGTATATAATCAGTACTTTAATGTTTTAATGACTAATCGAGTACCCGTGTATCCTCAATTGTTTCCAAAATCATCGGACATCCCCGTCATTGCCAGTTATTTTTATTCTCGTACCTTAGGTAAGAGAAATCGAGAGGCTTTCCGGATGCACAGGTCACAGGCGTCGTCAGAATTGCACGAATATGTGCTTCCACAACAGATACCGGAGCATAGACGGCAGCTGCAACAATCTACGCAATCCTACTTGGGGTTCGTCCTACACCGGTTTCCGCAGGAATTTACAACCGATCTACGAGAACGGTTTCTCGACGCCAGTCGGTTGGGAGAAAGGTCGCCGTTACTATGGATACCCAAAGCCCGCGGCCCGATTGATCTCGACCACTTTGATAACAACGCAGAATGTGACCTCCGACGAAACGATCACCCATATGGTGATGCAATGGGGTCAGTTCTTGGATCACGATATGGACCACGCGCTGCCCGCGGTCTCCAGCGAATCCTGGGACGGGATCGACTGCAAGAAATCCTGCGACAATGCCGCGCCATGCTTCCCGATGGAGATCCCGCCGAATGATCCGCGTGTGAACAACAGACGGTGCATCGACTTCATACGAACCAGCGCCGTTTGCGGATCAGGGGCAACAAGTCTTCTGTGGGGTGGTTTCTCTCCCAGGGAACAACTGAATCAGTTGCCCAGTTACATAGACGCCTCTCAAGTGTACGGTTACGGCGATGACGTCGCCGAACACCTCCGAGACTTTACCACGAATCACGGCCTGTTACGAGAAGGATCAACTATACCCGGTCACAAAGCACTTCTACCGTACTCATCCGGTCAGTTCGTCGATTGCAGGCGAAATCCACTGGAGAGCTCGATCAACTGTTTCGTAACCGGGGACATTCGAGGCAACGAGCAGGTGGGTCTGCTGGCGATGCACACGATATGGTTGAGGGAGCATAACCGTATAGCTCGTAGTCTCCGTGAAATGAACCCGCACTGGAACGGCGAGAAACTGTATCAAGAGGCTAGAAAGATCGTCGGCGCTGAGATGCAGCACATCACCTATCAGTACTGGATACCCCGTGTCTTCGGCGGTACGACCGACGAGCTACTCGACTCCTATAAGGGTTACGATCCTAATGTGGACGCCAGTGTGGCCAACGTTTTCGCTACCGCGGCTCTCAGGATTGGTCATACCCTCATCCAACCGCGACTGGAACGTTTAAACGAGTCCTTCCAATCGATACCACAAGGGCCCCTCCTTCTACGAGATGCTTTCTTCGCGCCGTGGCGGCTGGTGGAGGAAGGCGGCGTTGATCCTTTATTAAGGGGGATGTTCGCCACCCCCGCGAAATTGAAGTTACCCGAGGAGAACTTGAACTCGGAATTGACCGAGCAACTGTTCCGTACGGCTCACGCGGTAGCGTTGGATCTGGCCTCGATGAACATCCAACGTGGCAGGGATCATGCGCTTCCGGGGTACGTGGAATGGCGGCGATTCTGCAATATGTCGTATGCTGAGACGTTCGAGGACCTGGCCGGCGAAATACGCAACGCCAGGGTCAGACAGAAGATGAGGGAGCTGTACGGTCATCCCGGGAACGTAGACGTGTGGGTCGGCGGTGTTCTCGAGGATCAGCTCCCGAACGCAAAAGTGGGACCGCTGTTCAAGTGTATTCTGTTGGAACAGTTCCGACGCACCAGGAACGGCGATAGATTCTGGTACGAGAGTCCGACGGTGTTCAAGCCGGAACAACTTGCGCAGATCAAGCAGACCAGTCTGGCGAGAATTTTATGTGATAACGGCGATAATATTAAACGCGTACAACCAAATGTGTTCCTTCTGCCCGAGGGCGAAAATAAATACGTCACCTGCGACGAACTGCCGTACATGGACCTGAGAGTCTGGTCCGATTGTTGCGACGGTTGCGAAGATCATAGTAACACGATCTCCCGTTTCCGGCGTGGCGCTGCCAAATACATGCCTCCGGAGAGTAACCTAGCGAACGATTTGGCAACGCGGGATCCCGGTGAGAGGATCGAGTATATAGAAAGGACGATCGAGGAGACCCAAGAGGAAACTACAAAACTTACAAGATTAGCCGAGACTTTGTCTCGTAAGATAGAAGAATTGAGGTCGCTTTTAGAGAACGTGAAAAATATGAAATAGGATGGTAGATAAATTACCATTCTCTGGGTGGTACTTGGACTCTTATCCGTTTCTATTTACTTAGACGCGCTTGTATTTTATTAATTTTACGCATTTATTAATGTACATACACTGTGAATTTGTAGAAGCTGCACCGTACAGTGCACGGATTGATTCTTTGTTGTCCTTTGATGTACTTTTGATTTATTATTTAGATATCGCATTTCTAGTCCCATGTATGACTTTTTTTGTAAAAAAAGACATTGGAAAGTCTTTAAAAAATGGAAAAAGGATTTTTCTACACTTTATGGTTAAATTACTGCCTGTTTAAGTAATGAGAACCAATTTTGGACCACAAAGAATTATATGCTGCTTTGCTAATGTTTTGTAGACACATTTCTGCATCAATTTAGATGAAATTATTTATGTATAAAAAGTGTTACTGTAACGCAAATTTTCAATGTGCGATTAGAATTCTAGATTGTAGAAATGAAAAAATGGCTCCTTACTTCTAGTAGTTTTGTAATCGTTTTTTATACGATAATAGTGCATTCTATTTTAGTAGCTATGGAGAATAGTTAGTCATTACATTGAAGGGATCTCTTTTATACAAACATATTATTATGTAATTGTATACGTTTTATACATTGGTCATTAACATTACAAAAAACTACTATAATATAATCTGTACTCGGCAAATGAATACTGAAATCTTTTTGCAGATAAAATTACTAGTATATGTGTTACTTAATATGTACAGATATGACATCATTCATTTCCTTATCACCAGCAATTGCATTTCTCATAATCCTGTGCCATCAAACATTATACTATGTATTATGATGATTTATAATATGTATTTTTAATAGTAAAAGAAATATTTTAGTCATAATATGTTCATTTAATATCAAGTACAAGAGAACACAATACAATATTGAATACATAAGCTGTATTCATTTAAGTAACTGTATACATATTGCATACACATAAAAAATGCTGCACAATATTTAGGTATTATAACATATTGTTATTCAATTTAAAATATTCTATGCAGTGATTACTAGCAACATATAATATATACTTCTACATTTCTTGTATATTTCAACTTCCAATAAATTTTGTGTGTCGCCCATGAGCAATAATATCCTTCCCATCATTCTTGGTAACATCCACTGCAAGAAATGCTAATCTTTTCCCAGCACGTATAGTTTTAGCATCTACTGTGACCAATTCACCAAGAAGTGCAGGTTTCATAAACCTATGCATAAATTATTATCACATATCACTACAACCCCAAAAATAAAGAAAAAATAGGATAATGTATTCATACGTGATATTTAGATCTACTGAAACTCCTGGTGGACATTCATCTTTGGTCATCAAAGCATAAGTAGAAATACAATCAACAATTGTACTTGTAAAACCTCCATGCAAAGTACCACCCATATTTAAGTGTTCCTCAGAAACAACAAATTTTGCCTTACAATTTCCATCTCCTGCTGAGACTATTTCAAGCTATTTAAAGAATTAGAAGATATTATCAAAAATTTAATTCAAAAATGAAAAATAAACTATTTAATTGATTAACATATGTTTAAGATAAAACTATGTTGTAGAGAAAGCAGAATGTATCACAAAGTTACCTTTTTCAAACACTGTCCGTAATTGGATGACTTAGATATTTTATCGAGAACAGTCTTAATTAATTCAATACCGCGAGACATATTCACGATTAAATACTTTAAACTTCGTCGGTTAAGAACTACTTACTTAATGTGTTTAAATGTACACCTTTATAAATTAAAAGCCTCTTTTACCTGCTGATAATGCTTATGGAACTACTTATATACCTATTATTATCATTTTGCTACTCACGACAACGTAACCTACAGACACTTACAGAATGTATGTAAGATACATACTTCGACGCACTAGGAAATTTTCACTACCAATTCATGAATTGTAGAATAGGGACACGTAACTATTTTCATAATTTTACTACGATATGGATTCAAACATAGTTAAATTATGCCATTCTTTAAATAGTTTAAGTAGTATCACCTATTGCCATTTCACATCTGTTTATGAATCTGCTACCCTTCCCCTTCAACAGATGAAGGATAAGTATATATTAAGTAGTAAACACAGGAAATAATAATGCAAACAACTTTATCTTTTATTTTCAGAGTTTTATTTTCCGTTACCAATGTTTTATAAATAAGTATATATTACTATATTGTATTTAAATTATAAATATTCGTACTGATATGAAAAATTTAAATATGGTCAACAGGTAATCCATTATTATTTAACAGATGATCTTTGGGATCCTTAAGATATCGAGGACCATCACCAACCTGTGTATAAATAATATATTTAAAACATCCAGGTACTTGTTTTTGAATGTTTATCTTACCCAACAAGTTCTGAAAAGGATTAAGGAGTAGTTATTTGTTAATACAATTATTTTATTACATAAAAGAATCAATTCTGAAAGATTTACTTCTGAAGGTTTAATTGTTTCAATAGACAATCCCTTTCTATATTCTACTAAATTATCTTGTAATGGTGGGAAAAAATGATCTAGTATGCTCATGACTTCTGGTACATCTTTTTCCAGAAGATATAAAGTAGCATTCGGCCCTGCATCATATGTATATGCAACCTGGATCAGAACAAGTTCTAATATACATACACATTCTGAAAATTTTGAATAAAACGCCTTAATATTATTAGTACCTTTACATCATTAACAGCATTATTATAAGAATGTATCAGATCAACAATTGTGTGTGAAATGTCATTCATGTAAACACATGGTGGATATGTATCCAATACAACTGCATGAAACTGATTAGAATCCTTCATTGTGAGTTCAGCAAATGTTTTAAAATCTTTTTCAATTATCGCCTGTTCCATTTTATTTGCTACTTTGGGCACAATATGTTTTACCCTATATTTTAATAGCTCTGATGTTTCCATACCTCTTTTCATTCCAATTGCACTAGATACTTTTTTCTGTACATCATTTACCTACAGCAAAATATACAATCCTGATTGTACACAATATAAAATAATTAATTTCAAATGATAATCAAATTATAGTACATACGACTAATATTAAGACTCTCATTTCTGGCCAGTGGGTGGCAGGTACAATCTGCTTTGCTACACTATCACTTCCATTTGGGTCAGAACCCATATGCCATCTTACAAAACCTCCCATAACACTACGACATGCTGAACCAGAGCCAACACGAGCAATCGAGCTAATATCACCCTAGAATACATTATTTAGAAATAAAAACAGTATAATCAATTTTATGTATCATTCACTATAAAAATCTATACATTGTTAACAATACCTGTACTTCATATATCTTTGCTAAAGCAGCAACAAGACAAGCATATCCTGCTGCACTGGAGGCTAAACCAGCTGCAGTTGGAAAATTGTTCTTTGAACAAATATGAACTTTCCATTGACCTAAAGTAGTGGAAAGTCCTGCACGTTTTCTAACTAAAATAATATGTTACATTAGTTTTGAAATTTTTAAAGATCTTAATATATTAGTATCCAATTACTTTCAGCTAAACAGTTTTGCAATCTAGGAATTCTGATGTCTTCTTCCCTGAAAAATTGTAACATGACAACATTGTAATTTATTATATATACACAATTTATAAATATTAAAACTTACTTTCCATTTAACCATATACGATCTTCTTTGAAATGTGGAGCAGCCATAATAGTGGTTTTTGCACATAGCTAAAAGTAAAAATACACTTAAATAAATATAATATTTTGTATCATTTTAGCAACAATGTCACACACTTACATGAGCTGTATCTAGAGTGGCACTTATAGAATCATTTGCTGGTAATATCAGTGTTTCATCTCGTTTTCCCCCTGTAAAGAATTGTAAATTTCGGAGTATTCATTTTCCCCTCCGTCAACTTATTTGAATAATACTTCAAGCTATCTATTTAAATTCAAAACGTACAAGGCCGCACGCATAATGCCGCTTATAATACTTTTAAATGTATATTTATCTCAGCGTAAAATAATCGATAAGAAAATGCGTTTTTGGATTAAATTTGGAGATTAAAAACAACATTTGTACCACAATAGAAATATTTTGACATGATTCAAAATTAATTAAAAATTCCAAAAGAGCGCGCATTCGAAAAATAATTGACAATTACAATCGCATATTTTGTTAACATGTCTAATCTAAGTAAATCAATTAGTTGTGAATTGTTATACAATTGTAGAATGATGTTACTTTGATTGCTCTTTGGACCAAAGTAACCGATATGCAATGAAGTGTTTATATAAATATCTTTTGTATGAATTTCAATTTAACAAGAATTATAACAGTTCCACTACATAATTTCGTTACCAGAATTAAACAGAAATTAGAAAAGAATACTTACAATATTTTACTACAGCAATATTAACAGGTGCTATACAGGTAACGGTATTCATGATTCAAAGTTTCACTTGGCTTCCACTTCCATAAGCGTGTATCATCGAATAGTGCATTCCTATCTCGCGCGCAGTATTTATATTCAAACAACCATGAACTGTTGCTCAACAAGATTGTACCTTCTGTAGGCAAACCCTGTCTTATGAATCTATTCCTTAAATTTCAATCGTTTCTTTTAAATCTAATATACATTGTACTCATCCGCTACATGTGAAATACGCTTCCTAATTTATTACAGTATCCAGAATATTCCAATCGATTTTGTTCCCTTTTGTATTATTACAAAAACATTTATCTACAAATCGGGTGTGAAATTACCCCTCACTTAACACTACATGTGTAATTAAAAAAAAAATTATATATATATAATATTAAATACAAATCAAATTTCTCTCTCTCGTATCAGCAATACCATCTATCATAAAAGGCACTTTAGACTGTCTCCATTTAAAATTTGAACAAACACCAATCTATAGAATATCACTTATTTATGGTTAAAAATCAATAGAAATACATAGTAATTTTCTTTCTTATCGACAGGTCCGGGGAACACGGTAGCCGTATCGCCGACAGATGTCGCTGTGACCGCGAGGCACTGCCGCTAAGTGCTCGGGGGGGATCACGCATTACCCAGCCGGTTTTCAGTGTGACGATGCCGGTCAGTCGACGGTGGGGGTGATTTGCACGGTCTCCGGAGGGCTGTACGTACCACGAACGTGCACGGCGTGCACGGTGCTTCTCTGAAGCGCGCGCTCCTTCCTCGCGATCGCACGGCAGGGGAACAACAACGCAGAAAGCAAACAACGTTCGGAAACAGACAATGCGAGCGTCCTGTGACAGCGTCCGCGAGCCTCTGAGACCGTTGTGAAACAAGAGGAAACGGGATCCGTGTTGGAACCTCGGTGGAGGAACATGGTGTGCTTGTCCGTCGACGTTGTGGTGCCGTGGTCGTTCGACGTTATTAAAAGACGATAGCCGAAGGTAGTGACGCGATTCCGAAGACTCTGGTGGCTGTTGCATCCCTTCCTCGTTATCTCGCGCGTGCTTGCTTCGCGGATCCGCACACGTCGTTCCCTTTCTCTGGAAATCGCTGGTTAAACGCGCGCGCGTGTATCGTGCGGCTAAGGATCTGCGTGTGTTTTCCTCCGGTGGGAAGGAAAGGACGCGCGAAAAGAAAACTAGCAGGACGAAAAAGGCCGAGAGAGGAGACCGATGGAGCCGGTTGCAAGTACGTGCAAGAAGATCAAGTGGTCGCGTACCGTCGAATAATTTCGCGGACGTGAAGGTGCCTCCTGTGGAACGTTTGGTGGGTTACGGTGACCGAGTCAATCTCTGTCATCTGTTTCAAAGAAGAGAGGGAAAGGGAGAGCCGGGTACGTGTGTGGAGGCGAGTGTATTGGATCGCGCCATGGGGCGTCAGTGTGGCTGGTCCTTCACCAACGGCGGAACCTGAATGTGTGCATATTTCTCCCGGCTGACTGGCCTGCCTTCCACCGTTAAGCTGCGTTCACAAGGGGAGCCGATTTTCGGGCAAGGACCGCGGTTCGGTCGCTATCGCCAGGAAGAAGAATCGAAACGGTTAATGAGGACCGTCCGGCTTCGATCGTCCAATCGGCTAGCAGGTAAGATTTTTCAAATCGATTAATTAAATGTTTCGATCAAATTCAGACGTTTATTCTGGGTAGCACGTTGATTGACCAAGTTTTTCGCGGCATTATGACAATGTTGCAGTAAAGTACATACTTCGAAGTTTCCACTAGGAAAAGTAATTCACAAAATGCTGGGTGACATTGGTCAGGAATTGAATGTTTACTTTAAGGTAATTTAGTAGTGCTAACTATCGATCATGATGGTGTGATAGTTAACGTGTTAATTAGGTAATTATACACGGTGATCGATCTGATTTAAAGAATTTTTCTGCAGATGAAAAAGCATAACTAGACTACGGACTTTTATTAAAATTTGATATTCATCAACTATTTTACGAGAACCAAAATCAAAGAAAAGTTTGTTTTATTATTTGATAATTTTATTAAGTGCGAAATCAAATCGATGTCCTGTTGATTATTCGATAAGATTCTTCCTTTTTGCGTGATTTACAGATATGAAAATAACAAGAATGCATAAAATTCACTATCTAGTCATAACTTTCCACAAAATACAATGTCATAAAAATATCACGTTCTATTCTAAAAAAAAATCATGGTAACCCTGACACCTCGAAAGTTAAATTTAAAAGAATCTCAAACATTTCGAGTAACGTATCCTTCACAACGAGAAACTTTTTCAAATATGAAAGCTCGTAAAACGAACTTTCATTTATATTTTTAATTTATTTTTCCGAAAGGAATAGCTCCCCCGAATTGCATTGTCTATTTTGGGACTCCTTGTACCATGACGCCTCTTAGTTCCCACGGAGCTCGTTAGCCGTTGATTTTTTATTTTCTTAACTCACGAGTCACTTTACCCTTGTCTGGGCAACCAAAATATTCACGGTTATTGAGCAATCGGAATATCCCTATTCCGACAGTTTAGATAAACATTGATAATTTTACTCTCATACCTTTCCGCAACTCTTAGTTTTCCCTTCCTATAATATACCAAGAGCTGTTTTAGACAGGAACAAAAAAAAATTGTGAAAATTTATAAATGGGTACCTGGGAACCCGGTTGCCTACACAAGGGTTAATTATAGAATAATATCTGGAAGGTCAGGTATGAAGCTGTTAGGTATACCAATAAGTAATGCATTATTTTGTGTGAAAATTCAATATTTACTTTTAAGCACATAGAAAGCCTGTAGCGTTTCGATCTCTCTTCTACTCATTACTCAACACTATGTGCCACTCTTAAAGAACAAAATGGCGGAAAAATATCTTGAATTCAAACCAATACTATCAGTTTATTAATACAGATAATAAATTACTTATTGCTGGACATAATAAATGTAGAACTGTTATTAGTTATTTAATTACTTTATTGCACTGTTTTCTTATTTCCAAATATCGAATGATACAAGACGGTATCGATCGGCATTTCTTATTCCAGCAGAATCTCGTCTGACTTTAGCATCGCCTAGACACACTGGTTTCGAACAGTTCGATCGTTTCCACTGAATAATTTAGAACAGTATGCGACAGTTTTGCATTTCATAGGTGGCGGGGAACGCTTGAATTCAACCTAGTAAATATTCCCCGCTCGTTTTCCACGCACGGCCAGCTGTTTCCTGTCGGTTTTGAATTTCGGCGTGTTTCTTTGCGAAGCGAAGAAAAACCGATAGATTTCGCACTGAAATTAACGACTTGTGCGAAAGTAGCGAGATACATGCTCACAGCCCGTAAAACGCGTTCGATAGCACGTGGAGCGCTAAACGAGGTCCTTCACTTTGACTCAGTTTCCGACGGGTCGAGGCAGCAGCCATATTTATAAACAGCGACCCCCCCCGTTCACCAACCGCCCCCATAAAATATGTACGAAATTTACGAACTCCGCGAGCAAAAAGATTTTACAAAAATTATCGCTCATTCCGTGTTTACAAATTCTTCGCATATTTTTCTTTTCCTTTTTTTTAAATTTAGATAATGTTCGCGGTGAGTTAAGGGAAACCCACTATGTCATAACAAACGTGAATTAAACCGTTCCAAGTTATAGATTCTTCTAGTCTTCGATACTGTTTACGATGTATTTATCAATCATAGTGATTTGTGTATATTACTATCTAACGTCGTGAATTCTAATAAATATCCTCTGTTTGTTCGGAATTCATAATTTTTCACTTGAATAAAAAATAATGTAACTGTATATTCATTCGAAAATCCATATTCGAATCTACGAAACCAAGTGGGAACCCGGTGTATTTCTGTGTGACATGCTTTGCATTATGAATGCACCGACAGGAAGTTAATGGAAACTCATCCACTTAAAATTCCCCTTTTGCGCGATCGCTCGGGCGCCATCTTGAAAATCTAATTCTAAACGTATCGAGTCCCCCCCCCGATTGTCCGCGACGTTGGGAGAAAAAGAAGTCGGGGATTATACGGGAGATTGTGTTTAGAGCACGTTTGCTCCTAGGATTCTATTCACGATGGATGTCGCATTACAAACGGATCACAGAGAGAGAGACGGACGTAAGGGAATGAGTATGCGGTGCGCGTTCGCCGTTTTCTATAGTTGCCCCGCGCCTGCAGGGATAGCCACGGCCTCGCCAGTGTCGTATCTAAGCGAGCACGTTCCTCTTTGTTCGGTCCACGCGCGCTCGTGTGAACGCCCCTTGATTCAGGTGTGCCCCGGCCGCGGCACAAAGATGCATCCTCCGGCGGTACTTGAACTCTGCGCGTCCCGACGCGACCGTGCGCCACTGTCTCTCTAACTCTTTCGATGTTTATCTCGAGTATATTCGTCAGTAACACTAGAACTGCCGAACCCGTCAAAATGACGGATTCCATATTTCTCATTGTAGACTTAGGACCAAACTCGGCTTTTCCTCTAGGGGAAAAAGAAATGTAGGGGTAAGGGCCTCCTCCAACATATTACGAAAATATAAATAATTAAATTTGCAAATTCTTTCAAATGAAAGTCACGCATAGTTTGGAGTCACTGCAGACCCATGCGCCGTCTTTTGTGTGATTTTGACAGAGACATCACAGACTTTAAAGATATAAAATGATTTTCTTTCATTGTGGCACAAACAGTCTGGTCCCTGTGTTCATCGATAACATCATATCGCTGTTGCTCCAGACGATAGGCACTTGATGGATAAATTCTGGATTTAAGTAGAATCTAATATTTCTTGAAACGGCGAAAGAAGTGGTCTATACATGATATCTCGAAGTCTTTTGAATATTGTTTATTTTACAGGTCCTAACACTGTTAAACATTCTGTGTTGTGGATATCTTTTTATTTCTTTCCCATTGTGCGTTTTGTTTGAAAATCAGCCGAAAGGGTAATAACATTTTTTTTTTTCTTCAATTTCCTCTGATATTTTATCGATTATTTTATGGCATAAAAGACCGTAAATTACATTCTACCGAGAGGGGATTAATTCGGATTTTCTGAATAGCCTATGGGGAATAAGGCGAATAGTTCAATAGAAACGTGTGGCGCGCGAGCATCGATAAGGCTCCCGAGAGATTTTATTTTTTTTAGGGAACGGCTTAGTCACGTCTCCTTCCGCGAAATATGACTTTCTACTCGCGGATAGTGTCGGAGAACTGTTACGAACGTTTTTCTTCGCGTCGGCAATTCGACGGGGCAGATCCCCGTGGCCGTTGAAACGGATGTAATAAAACTGCTTCCTATTCGGAGCGCGCTTATCTCCGCGCGCAGCTATCCACCAATTGACGAACCCGGTGTCATTTACCTTTTTCTTTTTTCGCGGAACGAACCGTGCTCGGGGAAACCGTTGGGATTTATGAACCGTCGATTCGCTGTGTTTGTCTCTCTCGACGTGAATTGAAATCGTCGTGTTCGTAGAAAAAGATGTGCAGAGAGGGTATCCTGGTGACATCTGCTCGAACGTGTCCTATTTGAAAATCGTTCGTTCGTTTAAATATTTGTTAATAATAAACAAATTTTCTTTAATTAAGAAACAATTTTCGGATCGGTATTTTTTTTGTGCAATAACATGTTGCGTTTATACAATTTTGGACAATTTTCTGTTACTGAAAACCGTAAATAAAAGAACATATTATTTTGTCAAAATATAAAAAATGCATAATAATATTGGACACCATATTATAGAAGCTCCACTATATGAGAAAAATAGACCAAAAAATGTTCTCAAGTTAAGAAAAATTTTGTTTATTATTGTGCTATTATAAATACACTTCAATTTCTTCAAATTTCAAAACAGGGTAGGATCTAAATGGAAGAAAAAACAGTAACGGGAAAAATATTAAGCAAAACTTCATTACCTTTATTAAAAACAGTATTCAATAAATGTAAATTAACCGGAAAACAAAAATTGCGGGTGAAATGTTGCGTTAATGCAACGTTGGTTCTCTAATGGTTTAAGTAGAAAAAACTGTACAGTAGAGATTTGTTAAAGGAAACGCTGGTTCCAAGTACATAACCTCACCGGTGAGTGATCGAGAGATTAACTCCCTGGTGTAATATCATCGTTCCTACACCATTTACCACGACGGTGTGTTGTACCAATGTAATAAAACGGCGTCATCAATTAGCTCTTTCACGGGCCGCAAATCCAGCCCGACCGCAATAATAAACATAAATTCTGTCCTGAGCGGTCAGCGACGAACCACGCGAAAAAGATACGGAGATAAGGTAGATGGCAGCTGCCGCGTGTAACAAAATCGCCTGTGTACGGCTTTAAGGTGGGTCCTGATTTATAAACCCGTACGGAGAGGCTTGAATTCGTTCGAAGAACTCTGGTTATAGTCCGGTTTCAAATAATTTCCACGCTCGACGTCACTCAATCCACTGAACCGTGTTTTTTCTTTCGTTGGTTCCTCCATCTTACGAAGAGGGATTTTTTTTAGTTGCAACAGAGATTAGTTTTCTGTGTTCGAATTATAATACAATAACAGTGTGGATCCACCTTTATGTGACCCCTGAATTCGTTCACGAATTCTCGGTTCGAAGATTAAATCCAACCGTGGACTGTCTCGAACGATGTAAGCTTGCCCGTCGTCTGTCTATCCGTTCTTTCCTTTTTTCCTCACCCTTGGTCCCCCTATGTCTTTGCTCCTTTCTGTCGCGTCATCGTGCCTGGCTGACTCTGCTATTCATATGCCGCGTGTGGTTGAAATAGGGTACATATCTGCGTACCTATAATCGATTCAGAAGACCGTGGACGGTATCCCATCCTGTGAAACGAGATGAAATGATTTTGTATGAAGATCGTATCTTCAGGGTCGTTCATCTTGACCCTGTCCTTGGGGGTTCTTCGCGGGGTTACAACATAACCTCTCCAACGATTTATTAATCGCTTAATTGCGCCCTCTTTACAGGTCCACAAAGTGTTTTATTTTAAGCAGAACATATGACCTCGATGATACTTATCGAACCACCTCATATCAATTTTTCTATACACGTTGATTCTCGTGTTAAAACAAACATGTAATCTTGAAATTGACCTTGAAGTATTTATTAAGCTATCTCACGTATCAATTTATCCTTATAAAGCTTCCACAATCCTTCACTTTTTGTTAAAAATAGTTTCAGTCTTAAGTTTTTGTTATATCTTTCACTTCTTTTTTGATACTTTTTCTCTTGTGTTTTTTCATATTCTTCATTTTTTTTTAGAAATATTTCGTATCTAAGTCTGTATACTCATTTAAATGTGATCGAATATATTTTTTCATTGTGACAAGGACACTGACCCCACTAAATACCATTCAAATTGCGTATAAAATATTTTTCTCATTTTCACAATTAAAAAAGGTATTCGGGGGATCATGCTTCCACGAGACACCCAGTATACTATGTCTTTATGTTTTTGAGAAGCATATTACTCACAGTAGTATACACCTGTGTATGAATCAATTCCGTTTTCACTAGCAGCGCAACAAGAATCACTTCTCGATGGCTGAATGTTTCCAAAACGGGATCGAATGCCGTTTAGAGTTCCCAATACCACCTAATCGAATGCATTATTGCCTCTGTTTCTATTTTGTCATCGTGTCCTCGCAATTCATCCGTCGAAAAGTCGCACGTGCCACGCGAGCGCGCAAGACGAGAACGATGTGTATAATTTCGTTTGACACGAGGGTAATGAAATTATCGTCACGATAAAGATCTTCGTGGGGACTGTACAACTCTAGATACGCAAGACTTCTCGTCGCCACATCGTCGTCCGCCTTACGCTTTTTCTCCCCCTATGGCGGTCTTTTGTTTCCTGACTCGGCCCTTTTTCCACGCCTGGAGGACCTGTCCGCCCTCAAACCCTATACCGTCACGGCTTCTCGGTGTATCTTTGATGTTCCCCCGTGTTGTATTTTCTTTCTCTCTGCTGCTGCTTTTATCGTGTTTCTAACCCCTCATGCTCCCGACAGCCCACCGTCTCACATTTACACTGTTCACAGGTTATAATCGGTGCACAGGAAATCATTAGGCTTACCAGCGAGTAGGACACTATTAGCAATCTGATTTAAATTCACTTGTACAGGGTCTATCATACCACGTGGGACTCGTTTCAGTGGGGTGAACTGGATATACAGAAATAACAAGGGAACAGGTTTCTCTAAACAGGTGTGTGTGTAGGTCGTCTTTGATCTTGTTCTGGACCGTTTTTTCTTCTTTCGTTTCATTACCTTTTTGCATCGCCAGCCTGTCCCCGCTGAAATGCGTTTCACGTGTTACGATACTTACATGCTCTTTGTATCGCGAGAAAGAACCTCCCCGTCGATGTCATAATGAACGTAATCAAGGTTATTTTCAAACGGACGAGAGTCCCATCGCGTTCGATGGAACGGCCAAGTCGCGTCGAGCTGGTGGCCACCTGGCGGCTGATTCCCATGAATGAGACTCTCGTCCAATCAGGGGGGAGAATGGGAGAGAGGGAGAATCGCATCGAACGACCGCAGGAAATCTGCACTTATTCTCGGCCTCGATGCTATCTTCGGCTCGCGAAACTTTTTGTTCCGTCGTGTTGCACCTTCGGGGCTCGATCAGAAACGTCAGCGGCAGCCATGCGTCAGGCTGCACAGTGCCCGTATAGGTCGTGGCCGACCTTGAACGCGCGCGACTGCCACCACTTGCAAGCACGTGCTTCGTGAACGCCGTTGGAGGATCCAGGGGGCTTCTCGTCAGGTTCTCCTCCGGCCTTAAATAGGGATCGTACTATTTTCAGAGAGTAAATCGTGTGCGATAAAGCTGGAGAAGATATAACATCAAGGATATATCGAGGCTGATCGGCGGGGATGAAATTTTTTGCCGGGAACTTACGCCTCTGACACTCGACGATGCTGCGCAGCGGTAACTGTTCGAAAGTGAGGTTATCCGTGCCGTTGATCAATCGACACCTCGCTGAACGTTTTCGATTTCGCGCGTATATATTTTGTAATACCAGTATCGCTGCGTGTGGCCAGGTCTGTTGTCTAATATTTTCCAGTACTATCGACCGTTTACACGTTGCTTTATTCTCTGTTCGCTCCATCTTCCTCGTGTGATAGATGATCTTTTTGAATAGCGCGCCGGTAATTGAAGATCCCATAAAGCACTTTTTATTAGGGGGTCTTCATTGTAAGGAGTAGGGTTAAGATCGGTTTCCATCATCACTTGCTCTTCGTATCTAATTAAAATCGCCCAGCGTGATCGAAGCGAATGGGGAACAATGGATCGTTAAGGAGTGAGGTGGTGGTGATCGATGGAAAGTTGAGGAGCTGATAATCGTTACACGCTGTGTGAGCAACCAGCTTCACTTGAAATTATTTTTAATATTTTGTTCTTGTAATGTTTGAAATATCGCCTACGTGACGGGGGGCTGGGGGGGGGAGGCAAACGGACGCCATGCTCGGAAAACCAATGTTTTTCGCTCAAATTTGGTTCATTGAACGCGTTGGAACAGGAAAAGAACAGAAGACCGATTATCCGCGTTTCGTTTGTTTTCGCTAGGAAAGTTTTACGAGCGAAGAACCGAGATAATGCCCGGTGTCCCGCTAATACCCGAACGTTTTGATGTTTCAGCGAGACTGGACGAGCACAATCGGATGAAGTTGGGCCAAGCATGCCCTCTAAGAAGCAATACAATCTCGTACATAATGACGAGTACGACACGAGGATACCGTTGCACAGTGAGGAGGCGTTCCACCGTGGGATTGTCTTCCACGCCAAGGTAAGAAAAATATGGGTCTGCAACACACTGTACCTAATCTACAGAAATGTGACCAGGTCTGAAAGGGTTAAGGTTCCCCTTGCAGGTTAGGTTTAATAAGTTTATTTACTGTTATCTTCTTTTTCATTAATCATTGAGCCACCATCTTATTATTATTAAGTCTTCTGAGTGATTAGAGTCCACTGAGGATTTTACTGCTTCCAAAGAGTATGATGCAGACTTTGGGAGATTCCTAACAGCTGTGTCACTTAACATAACCCAATATCTGTACCCACTCTATGTGACTGAAATCAGTATTATCGATTTAAATGTCAAATTTCTTTGGTCAGTTTGTATTTTCTTTGTTACGAAATGATTGCATTTGTATTTGTTGGTAATCTTCCGTTGGTTTTTCTTGAATGCTTTGTCTACAATTTTGAATGAAATTCCACGATTGACCACGGTTACCAGTCATCGCATAAGGTAATATCGGGGACAAATCCAATTACGCACGGAGTCCGTTAAGAAAACAATGACTGGTGGACCGGTCACGCGCGAATGATCCTTCGGTTTCGTGTCTGTTCCGGGAAAACGGATTCCGATGGCAGTGGCCAGGTTTACCGTATCGAGAGAACGCAGTTACTGAAAGAACACAGTTCCGGCTAAACGGGAGATGTTACGAACCTCAGGAACAGTTGTTTCTTGAGGGGGAAGCCTGGTGTAAACGGGCTAAAAATGAATGAATTTTTGGGAATTCCTTGTGAAGGACTTATTAAACCAGTCTCTTTCAAACTTTAAGAATATTTTATTGTACAATTAAACTGAATACAAAAATTTTTATTTTCACGACAAATCCATAAATATTGTAGTTATAACGACTGCACATAAGTCATTATAACTATAATATTTATGGATTTGTCGTGGAAATAAAAATCTTTGTATGCAGTTTAATTGTACAGTAAAATATTCCCAAAGTTTCAGAGATTGGTTTAATACTTTCTTCACAATAAATTCCCAAAAATTCGTTTATCATTAATTGTTTACACCAGGTTCCCCCTTAAATAGCGAATCCTAAGCGTTCAAAATACGATCGGTAGAGGGCGCTCAAAATCAGAATGGAAACCATAACATTGCTGTCCGCCGGATCTCTGGTTTACGTTCGGAGTTGGTAATATACAAAACAATGGGAATCGTATACGTTCGATTGTTTGGCTATTCATCGGACGTTCATCGGCTTCCCTGAAACATCCTTCAAGGTTAATACTGTTAATTATTCCGATCATTTTCGTTGATACACTTCGACTGTCAAGTGGCATTGCGGAATACACTTGGATGTAACCAATAACAAATTCACTATTTTCGTTTCGTAAATATCATTTAAGCTGCTGCTGTGACTCTGTTAAGTATTCATTTATGCGACATAAATTATCCCCTGATGAATTTTAATTCATAAAAGTACGATCAAATATATACAGTTTAGAACAGGAACTTAACGTGTTGCAATTTGTAATTGCTTTTGTTGGGTTCGCGCGCAGCCTTTCGATATTTTACTGCCCCGTTAACTCTCGTTTCGTTCCGTTTAGAGGGTTCCACTTTCGTAAAACGTTTTACGAACAATTTACTGCACAATTCGAAACCGACGAATGGCCACATAAAATCGGACTAGCGTTTCTCCGAATCGAAAATCTGTATCACTGCTGTACGGAAGTATATATGGAAGGGGGGGGGGGGGGGGGGCTTAACCGATTCGAAAAAATTGACAGCATTTTTACAATTAATCGTTATTTTCTTTAGTATAATAAAAATTTTTGTTCAAATTGTTTTGGACTGTTCGCAAAAATATGTCAGTCTTGACGAAGTTTTTCAAGTCTACATATTGAAATAATTTCCACAAACTGACATTTGCAATTACACGTTCAGTCTATCTTGCAATCGTATATTTTATACATACATACATATAAAAATAAACTATAACTATAATTAATTATTACAAATTAAATGAAAAGAAAAGGGATTTCATTTAAACGCAACATTTTGCTTGCGCAAGTTATTTGAACGTGGAGACGGGCCTTAAGGGTGATATAGCGGTTTACAGTTCGTTGTGACGTAGCGGTTTGACAGTTCAGTATGACGCATGTTTGATTGCGGAGCAAATAGAAAGTCGGAAAGACTGCAGAATATTTATACATAACGAATAGATATGGGTGCGAGTATATTACACAGTGACCACCTTACGTAGTTCAACCATCTTACGTTAATCATCCATGGGATCATTACGTTGGCGGTCCTAATTACCTTAGAACAATCGTGCGTAACCTCACGAGCAAACTCTGCTTCCGCTAGGGGAAAAAGTGGCGTTGGAGAAAGGCCTGCGAAAATTTGGTATCGGGAATTATTGAAATTTATGCCAAATTAACATTCGATTTAACATTTATTTCAGTACTTGAAATAAATTTACCAAGTGGTAGAAAGCATTTCTCTTACGGCACTTTTTCCCCTAGTGGAAGCCGAGTTTGCTCGTAAGGGTACGCCGTGGTTAGTAGGGATGAACACGATCGAGGTGTTCGATCGATGCCATATGCGTGTGGGGAGATGCAACAATCGCGCGACAACCGACAGGCCGTGGATATTTTCGGTTAGAGCCGGCACAGTGGGTGACGTCATGGTGCGCGCACGTGTTTATTTCAGCGGTGTTCCGTCGTCGTCGTCGTCGTCGTTTCTCGGAAAGGTTATAGCTTGTGCCGCGGGGACGGGGGCGCCTAAACTCGTAAAACGGTCACTTTTCGAGATGCAAACGATTCCGACTATCCGCAGTTGCTGCTAGTAATGAAAACGAATTGTATCGATATTTGGTATCGATACTTGCAATAAAATTGAAAGTAATCAAATTCCAAAAATGAAAATACATCATTTATTCAAGCAGATATTTTACTAAGACAGATTCTCCAGTGAGAGTGTGGAAGAGAAATCAACTTTATGGGAAGCTTGCGATTGGCCCATTTTCCTTACGGACTTATTACGTTACTGCAGCGAGTTTATCGAAATTGTCGATATTTATGGGTTAAGTATCGATACTAGAATATATCGTCACATTAAATATCGATATTTGAATGGAAAAGTATATTTTAACTGACAGATATTCGAAATATCGATACTGTTATCGATAATTACTAGTGGCCGCCTGTAGTAGGTTTCTCGCTGACGAACGGCATTTCCTTCCTGCTCCTAGGGGAACTATTGTCCTTCACGCTGTAAAGATTCTGTATAACGTTTTGTCTGTTTCCCATGCGTTCTACATTCGCGGGAGGAATATCTCGGCCTAGTAAAGTCACAATAATAGTGTCCGGGGAACTTGGTCACGCTTCTTCGATCGTACCGCCTTGTATTTCTGTACTCGCATGTATGTAGTGTGTTCGCCCCCGTGTTGAAGCGTGACATTTTGAAACGAGGCTTTTAAACAATTCCCATTCGAAAATTTTCGTGCTTTCTTATTATTTTTTCTTTTTATAAAAATTCTAAAACAAGTTGCGGTAAAACGATGCACCGACTGTAGGATTAATTGTTATAAATGTATATGATTTATAGTAGCGGTGATTTTCATATCGCAAAGAGCATGAAATGTATACATTGTTCGAAACTATAAGTAGAGTGTATAAATTGAACGGGCGGTCGTAAATATTTTACGGTACTCAAAGGTCACGCCGGAATGCCAACTCGAGAATGACATTTTACAGATCATAAGCAACAATGACACACCGGTATATATCGGTTGTAATATGCGTGTTCCGTGTTTTAATAATAACAATTGTAAGGTTATTTACAAAAAGTCGCTTTTGTTACTTGGAAGTCTAAATATAAATTACAGGATATAAGTACAGTAAATAATATAGTACAGTATAATGTTTTAACTCTTTAATGGTGTTTGACGAGTATACTCGTCACGTGAAAAAAAAAGATAAAATACCTTTTGCTACATAAATTGAATTTTTTTGGTAAAAATTTGAAAATACATTTCTTTTATTGGAATAAAGGAATCAAGCTGTTACACATTTTCAAAAGAAAATTCCACCGTTAAAGGATCAATGGTGAAAAGAGCATAATACGAAGCGAAACTCGTCGCGATTCATGCACTCGTTTATTGTCGCGCGCGTGCGCCGATATCGATCGAAATTTACTCGGAGAAATTTGATCGTCGCGTCGGCCCTCGGCTCGACCGGTATCACGTCCGTGTGCCCCGTCTATTGCGTGGGAGATCACCACGTGTGCAACGAGTCGGTCGAACACGTGGCCAGGTCATCGTTTCAATGGGGAAATTCTAAATACAGCTCGTGGCGCGGGTGCTCAATATTCGCATGCGATCCATTTATTTTCATTACTTCGTGCGTATAGACTGCGGTGGTTCCCTCGTGTTGCTTATTTTCACTTCGCTTTTTTTTCCTCTTCTTCTTCTCTAATTTGCAGCCGATCACACGTTTTTCAGAAACCTATTCGAGGTTTTTCGCGATAGAAAACAGTCTGTCGGAATGACGAGTACAAGATGTCTCTTTTAAGTCTGGTTTTATTAATGGGGGATGGGGGATAAAAGAAAGCAGAAAGTACCATCAACGTAATGTTAAAAAAGCACATTTATTGAAATGATCCCCATATTTGATGCAATATTTTGTATAGTTAATATAGGTGGGAAAACAAGTGCTCTTATAATATTAAACTTAGATATGTTGTAGTCTCCATTAGTGATACATAAACGTATCTCGAAGAATTTGTGAAAATTTTAAAAATTGTTGATTTTACAATTGTTTGAAGTATAGTATTAATTATAACTGTTCAGCTAACAAACTGATCAAAACGACCATTGTCGATGTGTACAGTGGATATATAAGAGTACCTAGTAAAAATGATTTCAGTTGAAGAAAATATTTTTTAACCATTTACTTTGCAATTTTATATTAGCCGAGCATTATCGAAATATTTGAAATACAATTAGTAGGACTACTGAATAGTGTCATAATTATTGTCAAACGTCAAGAATCATTCTAAATACAGAATATTTGGACACTAGGACACGGAATTCGTAGTCATGACCGCGAACACAAAATTTCAAACGATTTCCCTGCGATAATTTGTCCAGCCGACAGGATCCGTGTTCGAAACGATTTCTGTCGTGTAAACGTTTTCTGAGAACCGTTTAACCTATAAATCATTCGCCCAAAAGTGAAGCCGCGTCGCTACTGCATTAGCAGCGGGGCTGCCTATTTCCGGTTATCCGTTCTCCGATCTCCTGCGACGTTTCGGACCAGTCAAGATCTCTCCGTTTTGGCATCCGTAGTAACAGAGCGTAGGGACCAAGAATCGAACTTTAAGGATGTTTGATGTCAATTCGATTCTTCGGAAGATCCTTTGGGTAATACGTCACTGGGATAGATGTACTTTGTTTTAAATAAGTTGTTTTCCTTCCAAAACAGCCTCTAACAATCACAGAATCAGTATGTTGTTTTGAATAAATGGTACTTTTTTGCAAGCACATTTGAATTATCCCGCCAAACAGGGAAAGAATCCCGTTAATCGAATAATGATACTCAAAACGTTTTTTCGTAGATTTTTAAGTAAGAATCTCTTTATTGATAAATAAAAATAAGAACACCGAAATTTCGGAAGTTCTAATCAAAAGTTTCGAAATTTCTAAATAAGTATTTCTTACTTAAGCGAATAATATTAATTAAAAAGCTTAGCTCATCGTGTGCACGTTCAAAGGACATGCGCACGTCCAAGAGAATTTCACGGTGATTGACATCCAAGGCGCGCCACGCCGCCATCTCGAATCAGAGTAATAAACCCGCTAAAGCAATTAAGAAAATTACTCCGCAACCGGCAACACGGGAATACATGACTCACGGTCTCTCTGGCTTATGGGGAAGGGTGAAGGGGAGAGTCCGACTGCCTATGCAAACGAACGGGGGAAGACCCTTTAATTCTCTTTTTCCCCGTAGTTCATCGGCTCTATGGAGGTTCCTCGACCGACCAGCCGAGTGGAGATCGTGGCGGCGATGCGAAGAATCCGCGTGAGTTCGCGTAATGTCTAATTAACCGCGGAGGGAGAGCTCCGTGGGACTCCAGAGGCGGGATGGGGGCGGTTTAATGTCGTTAACGTCGTTCTTGTTTTTGTCCCCAGTACGAGTTCAAGGCCAAAGGGATCAAAAAGAAGAAAGTGACGCTAGAAGTGTCGGTGGACGGCCTGAAAGTCACGCTTCGGAAGAAGAAGGTACGACCACTCGGTTCAATCTGGGTATTCTCTTGTTATTATAACCGCATCTTTGCGAGTCAGCATCGCCGCTCGCAATTGCATAGGAATTTTCTTCGCGTTTGTCCACAATGTTCAGAGCAATTCCTGTTGAGCTTGTCATCCGTTTAATGGACGATTGTAGGGTCAATGTTTTCTTTGTTCTTATTTATTAAATTGTGTACTAGTGAGTGTCCTGTACAAACTGCTGTTGAAATACTATAATATCTAATTCATCAGAACTAACCATCCTGAACGTGTATCATTGAATCGTTATTTGTCCTCTGTTCCCGTAGAAGAAGCAGCAACAGTGGATGGATGAGAATAAGATATACCTGATGCACCATCCCATATACAGGTAAGATGATCGAACCACAGCGCGCCTTGATCGGGGGGAACCATCTTTCCATGGGTATTTTTCCCTTTTTTACGAGAATCAAATTACCACAGCTGGAAGTAGCGACCTCCAATCGCGATATCCGATCATTCTCGAACTCTGTATCCCTCGATGGCCTAATAAACAAACCATAAACGTATTGGAATCTTGATGTTGCGAATCTCGAACGTGAACAATGTTAAATCATATTGCTTTCATCGAGCAATTTAATCGTGAACAGAGAAGTCCGTGATATTTGAGTTTCGATTAAGGTGCAATCCGAATGACTTTCTCCCATCTGTTTAACCGGTTAACACGCGTTCAATGCCAGAAGGTTTCTGCTATATGCTTTATCCACTGCAGCCCCGGAATGAGAACGTCGCTATGCGAAGCATACGACAATAAAGTATTGTATATAATTACTAAATTGAGATGTATAGTGTTTAATACTTAGCTCACCGTATTCTGTATCGACATATATCTTGAAGGATACCGATTTCCGTTATAAGATTAATAGTAGAGTAAACCAACCAGTAATTGACTGCATACCACTGAATAACCATTATGTCATTTTTTTAGTTTAGCGTATTAAGCAAACATTAATCTGTACAATTCTTATAAAAAATATTTCAGAAATACAACAATCATTTACTGGGCTTTTACACGTTTTGCACTTTATAAATAATTTTGAATGACTGCTTATTTTTATAAAAATATCAAGAAAAATAAATGTAATTGAAATTTCAACAGCTATTTTGTTGTTATAAATAAATACATTCAAGTATTAATCTCAAACGTCCAGAAATTCAAAAATTCGATTATTTAACAACTGGTTGGTTTATCCTACTCAAAAGGAGATAAGTGTTGGCGTTAATAACAATAGAGCGTTAAATCTTAAGCCCTTTTTATGAATGTGAATTTTTAGAAACACAGTAATGACCATTAAGTTTTACCAAGATTAAATCATTTACGTTCATATTTATCTCCTTGTCAGGGGATAATAAGTCATTTCCTGTGAGTCACAACTGTATAGAATTTTACTTCATGCCATGAATACCAGGAACGTCCGTTAACGTGTATCGATAGTCACGATTCACCGCTGAAGTAAGTCAATCCTCGGCCAATCCGGAACACGATCGAATATCGTTTACACACTTTTCTCGATTGAATAGATCCGCGCACTCGTCACAAATCACCAGGCCCCCTTGTGCCAATTTCATCCGCTGCCGTGTATATAATTTATAATCTCTACCGCACCGGCTCATTTCCTCCTATCGACGCTGCGTTCCACAGCTGTCGGAAGAAAAAGAGCTGTATTTCTCTTCCACCAAGCCGCTTTGACGCCCGAGGTTCATAGAGGAAATGATCGAGGAAGCATATAAAATCAAGAGTCGTTGAATATTGAGATTCCAATTACGTTTTTAAAGAAATGAAAAGTCATTGAAAATTGACATTCCATTTGCGGTTCTAAAGAAATCAAAAGTCGTTGAATACTTATATTCCAATTACGTTTTTAAAGAAATCAAAAGTCATTGAAAATTGACATTCCATTTGCGGTTCTAAAGAAATCAAGACTCGTTGAATATTTAGATTCCAATTGCGGTTTTAAAGAAATCAAAATATTTCGAAATTATAATTTATAGAATTTTTCGAAATGTCTTAAGATGATTTTTTTTTTCTGTTTTTACAGGATATTCTACGTCTCCCACGATAGCCATGACTTGAAAATTTTTAGTTACATTGCTCGCGACGGAAGCAGCAACACCTTTAAGTGTAATGTCTTCAAATCTAGCAAAAAGGTAAGTGCCGCATTTCCATGTGCTCGTTGCTGTCATATAATTATCGCAATTTCAAGTCTAGGTCGTCCCAAACGCGTACCCTAATATATTGAAAAATCTGAAGTACCAAAAAACACCGTAACGCAAATTACACTCGAACGACTTGGATTCTCTTTCGTTCGTGTTCCCCTGCATTAAGCGGCCCGCGTGGTCATTAAGCGGTAATATTATGTCGCGCACGTGCGTACACACCCGTAATAATTCACGTAGACCGGTCTGTCGTTTGGCGTTTTATCAACTCCCGCTATTGTAACTATAAATAACCCACGCGTCCCTTTCTCCATTCTTGTACGTACACGCGTGAACCATTTATTCGTTCCCGGGCCTTTTTTTTCGTTCTCGCGACTACTACACTACCCTTTCTTCCTTTTATGTTTGTTATGCTTAAATTTTTTTCTTGTCCCACGTGACGACTTCTGAGTTTCACTCGCAAGAATCATTCTCGATATAATTCCTGTCAAGTGGAGATAACACTTACTATGTCTGTTTCTCAACTGGATACACAGCATTAGACTTCTATCGATACTTAAATCGATACTCGTCACACACTACGATTTTACCGAAAATCGACGACTGATACGAAAACGTTCGAATGATAGTGGGTGCTCCGTATAACCTATAATATCTCGTCACGTTTCGACACCAGATTGTCAGTGTCGTTCGCATAAAACGTTTATCGTTAAAACACAAGTGAAAGAAAAACACGAAGAAACTTCTTCTACTGATCTTACCTGATAATAAATGTTTCGGTATGTTCGATGTGAAAAATAATCAAAACAACGGGATATACACGGTACACTACAAGCAAACTCGGCTTCCGCTAGGGGAAAAAGTGAGGTAGGCGAAGAGCCTCCTACCATTTAGTTTTGGGAGGTACTGAAATTTATGTCAAATTAATATTCGGTTTAACATTTATTTCCGAACTTGTCATAAATTTAGTAAGTGGTAGGAGACTTTTCTTCTACGCCACATTTTCCCCTAGTGGAAGCCGAGTTTGCTCGTGGGTGTACATATGCACGTTTTCGTGTGTCCGTCGTTTCGTCGTGTATCTTCAAAAGGTGGCCACACTGTGCCACCGTCACACAGGAGCCAGTTAAAATAGCCTGTGTATAGCCTGGCGCCTTCGACGAGACCTCCTCCTCTCGTCATCGCGCATGAACGGAAGGGGGAGAGAGAGAAAAAAACAAAAAAATCATTTCTGGTGTGTCCGAGCTGTCCCGTGTCTAACAATAAGCCTCGGTGGTCCCCGACGATTTGTATACACAACGAAGCTCCCGCTAATCGGCCCACGTGCATCGGTGGACATGTATTTTATTTCAAAACATACAAACTTTCGCGAAATTGATTCTTCGGTTGAAAATACAAGATAAGTTACGCAATCCCACTTTCTTGGGGCGCGGGAATTTCTCAGTCGCGGAATTCTCGAAATCTTGTTTTCTTTCTTCCTTTCATTTGTTTCTTTTTTTCATTCTCTTTTACGGGTCGTATAACGTCGGGCGCGCACGAAACGTTGCTTCTTTTCAATCGGGACACAAATAAAAGAAGTCACACGGTTTCTTTTTTTAAACGTCTTCTGCATACAAGGTTATGTAGTTCGAAAACAGATGACAGATGAATACGTCGAAATGGATCCGAGAAATCTGTCTTTATATTTTTATAATACGTTTCAGTAACATCTAGTACCATTACGGCAGATTAACAGAGCGCACAATGGTGTCCAAAATCAAAATTTCCATTTGAGATGTTCAATTATGATTCTGGAGAACTGTGGAGCGTTCAAACATTTGTGAGCGACAGCGCTAATTTTACTTGCTTGTTTTAGTGGAGAAAGCATTAAGATAACATCGAAACTCGAATTTGCATAATCATTGTCTTCAGGCGTTTAATCAGAGAGCATGTACATACCGCCTCCGTGGCGCAATTGGCTAGCGCGTTCGGCTGTTAACCGAAAGGTTGGTGGTTCGAGCCCACCCGGGGGCGAGTTTATTTTTTCGACAAAGAGACATATTACTGAATCTCAAATCGACGAGCAAGAATTTTTTAAAAAGAGGCGAACGAAAAATTGTATCGTATTTCTTTGTAATATCGAAAAGATTCATGGAAAAAATAAATTCGCCCCCGGGTGGGCTCGAACCACCAACCTTTCGGTTAACAGCCGAACGCGCTAGCCGATTGCGCCACGGAGGCAACTGCGGACTCTTCTGTTTAAAACACGTATAAAAGCCTTCCACGATCTGTTATCAGTAGATTGCAGTTTTGTACGCATTTATAGCGTTTACGATTATTTGAAACCTCGGTATACAAAAGTATTTAACGTTCGACGAGGTTTTTGTTTTATTTGGACCCGATAGAATTCTTAATAAGGTAAAGGACTTTCTGTTTGACGCCAGGTTTTGTGAAATGGGCAATAAAAATCTATATTGGTTGTTCAACAATATAAATCTATATTACAAATCTATGTGGTTCCTAATACGTTTCGTCGGTATTTCTCACAGAAAAGAAAAACGACGAATAACTTGCATAGCAAATATATTTCATTCACACCTGGAAAATAAAATAATCATCAAATTAAACAATATTTCCTTCGTCGAGTAAAAATATAAGAAAGACACTGTGCTCGAAACACTACGAACTTTCCAGACGACCCAATATATGCGTTGGAAGAGGATAACGGGAATTTTGGTTGTCCTCTCGGGGAAAAATTTATCCGCGAGCCGATGAGTTAATGGGCCGGGGCGGGAGTCTTCATTTCCCTGTCCCAGAAATTCCCCTTTCGCGCAGACTGACGGCGACAGAGAACGATAAAACGAGAACCACGACATTACCAATTTATGTTCCGGAACCAGGTCGACTGTCTTATCGTCTCCTGTCATTTTTTTTTTTAGGCAGAACAGAACTCTCGCGGGATATTAATGCCGCGCGTATGATCATTTAACCCTTGCTCTTCTTGTTTGTTGCGAGGCTTTATAAAAACAGGCCAAAAACACTGGAATCGATCCAGAATACGATCAGAAAAATATTGTCAGTTTATTACCTTCGTGACATTAGAAATCCTTTGGACACGTTTGCAATTATTCCGTTAGAATCCTGGTACAGTAAATCCTCGGTGCAATTATACCGATAGAATCCTGTTCGTAAATTCCAATTGTGTCCTTGGTGAATTTGTACTCGATCCACTCGGACAAGTATCGAAATACTTTTTTTTTTTATTATACTTCAGAGGCGACTCGGTACACGAGTTCCACGAATCCATCGGGGTTTCAAAAATTTGGTACAGTTTGTTGTACACACAGTGACATCGAGCCGTTTAAATTTGGTGTCGTATCGCTCGTGTAACGGTCCCACCGGAGCTTGGCTTTGATCTGACGCAGTTGTGCGTCAGTCGTCGGGGTGTGTGTGTGGTTTTCATTTATACAGTCTGCTCGAACGAGAACGGTAATAAGCGCTACATTTAGAAATAATTCACGTGGCAACAATTCCTGTTCGGTCTGTCGACCGTGGATCGTCGAACGTCCACGGCGCGTAAATTACCCTCTCAAAATATTTTGAGCAGCGACGGTACCGTATTTCACATCGACGGATATTATTTCTGGAGATGTCGACAATCGCTCGGCTGGACTGTCTTCGAAGAGTATCTTCTCGATACGTATATACTCATTGATGATATTCATACACATACACACATTAAACACACGTTAACGAAACACTCCAGAAATATTAAATTTGTGATTTTACAAATTTGAATAAGGTGGAGTAAAAATTAAGTTATTAAAATAGATGAATAATAAAATTACTCCCTTGTTACTGAGACTTTAAAAAGCTTTCGTTCGGCCAAAGTTTCGGACACTGTTTTTCGGAAGGTTTATCTGGTCTGGCTTTTTAAAAATTCATTTTTCGACTTCTGGATTCGATTAAAGCCGGCGGTTGGGTCAATTATGACCTGTAAGAATATCAGTATTTGTTTATGTTATTGCATAAAAACATATCTGGTGATTGTGTTCGTCGATAAGGGTCATCGGTGACTCAGCCATAGGAAAAAATGCTTTAAACATTGACTTATGTTGTTCACGTTTCTCGAAAACTGCTCTGGTTCCTGGCTACGTATCGTTGAATGTGTACATCAAAGAATACCCGCGTCCGTCGTGTAATTTGTCGTACGATAAACAGACGTCGATGTTTCAAACCACCGAAGTGATTTGGCTTTCAAGTTGTAACACGCCGCACCGGGTTAAAAATAAACAAATTCTAGGAATGAATTAAGCTTCACGGCGCGAGGCCTTACTTTGTTGGAAGCCGTCTTCTGTCCTTTTGTCGGGTGTGCGCGGAAATCCGCTCGAAATTATTCGACCAGAGTTTAACGTCTCGGCTTGGGTTAAACAAATTACATGAGATATTGAAAAACGTAAAACCAAATTTCAGTCTGGATAAAGTAATTAAATTTCAGAAACACGGACTAGCGTTTACGAAGCAAGTAAATACAGGAATCTTTATGAGTTGTATTGCAAAAGTTAGCAAAAAGTCTTCTGACAGCACTTTCCAAACACCCTGTATACAATTCTCCTTCTGTGGTGTACTCGTGCGAGCAAACTCTGCTTCCACTAGGGGAAAAAGTAACGCAAGAGAAGTGCCTGCTACCACTTGGTAAATTTATTTGAGGTACTGAAACATATGTTAATTTCTCATAAATTTCAGTAATTCGCAATACCAAGTGGTAGGAGCATAGTAGGAGGCCCTTCCTCCACGTCACTTTTTCCCCCAGCGGAAGCCGAGTTTAGTGTACACACTGTGTTCAGGAATGGGCAAACTGATCATAGACAGCAACGGACATTGCCTAGCGCTTCCTGCCTTATCATTGAAATAACAAAAATTACCCCATATCCATCACGCAAGGGTCAACGAACCTATGTCACAATATTAACAATACCTTCTGAGAAACCCTGTACATCGATTATTTGCAGGAT